AAAAAAATTTTTTTTTTTTTTTTTTTTTTTTTTTTCGATTGAATTACGGTTTCAACGAATACACAAAAAACCTTTCTCCACGATTATATGTAGGGGGGGGGGGGAAATATTAGCAAACTGAAATAAAAAAAAAATAAAAAAATGCTCCATAAAATTCGTGTTCAAAAGTAGCTCTTAAAGTATAGCATACGTGCGCAGGGAGACGCGAGGTGTCTATGTCTGTCACTTGACAATGCCTAGTGAAAAATTCAGGAGCTAAAAAGATTAGGTATTAGGTACAACGAACATTTCACCAAAGAGCTGTCGCGCGTCCCTTCAACTGTATAGGTATACGTGTGTGCAGCCACATATGTATATACGTACAGGGTACTGCGTACGCATCAGCCGTTATAAACGAAATCACGTGCCCATAGCACCCGTATAAATAAGTTCCACGGCCGTACAATATACACATACACCTAAACGTGGAAAAGAGCTCAGGGTATATATATATATAATATATAGGTATCACGTTACGAGGAGTGCATTTTACTTCGAAACAAAAAGCCGACGATGGAAAAAGTAACAATGGTTATACTTGGTAAAAGAAATGAAAAGGAAAGAAGAGAGAGAAAAATAGAGGGCGGAGGAGCACGTGAAACGCGCGGTGTATAGGTGTATATATATATATAAAAAAAGCTTTCACGTTAATCCGCGAAGCCGTCCGCGGGGGAGTAAACAAGCCTCGAGGAGGACGAGAGAGCTATGTAAGTAGCGCACGGGGTGTGTTATACTTGTCCATCACTCGACTCTCCATTGTATTTATATACCTATAAACACTGTAAGTATAGGTAATAAATATGTGGAGAAACGGAAAACAAACAGATATAGGTATATATACATACATAGATTAGGAGGTATAAAATCGCGAAGTGACCTCATGTATACGGCGGCCGAACAATTTTCCAATCACCCGAGAGGAAAGACCGTGGCGGTGGTGGATACCAGCTATATTAGGCCGAGGTGCGCACCGGCCGCGAGAGCCGGTATATATGTACGGTTATCGAATTTTCGACGGTCCTCCCCTATGACAATCCGAGGGTATACATTATACAGGTATACAGAAGCGAACGGACGCGATTCCGTGCAAGGCTAATTTCATCAGCTACGCGCTCACTGTAATCCTACACAGGTGTTGGTGTATTGTATACATCACCTACGTTGAATTTCGCATTACCGTGTGCTCGCGAATGCTCTTGAGTTTCATCCTTTTTTTTTTTTTTTTTTTTTTTTTTTATCGCCTCTTCCTTCGGCTCGTGGGCGTCGAAAAACTCGTCCAGGAAGCGTGGAAATTTATCTGAATATTGAAAATCAATGGAAATCAGATGTCATTTGTCGGGAACGAGGGAGAAAAAAAGAAAAGAAAAGAAAAGAGAAAAAACAGTTTATTGGACTAGATGAGATATCCGCGAAATGTGTTTACGGTGACAGTGACGCAATTCAAGTCATCCTGACGCACTCCAGTGATAGGTGCAATCAAGTGATGCACCCTATATAAGAAATCCTTGACTCACGTCCATTAAAAAAAAAAAAAACTTTTATAGGAAAAATAAAAAAGTTTATCGAATATATTTGCCTGAGGGGGGGAAATGAAAAAGTTCCACCGAGCTATTTTCGACAGCAAAAAAGGGGTAAGAGAGTTTTTTGCTTCCCGCGGCTGACGCGTTATCGATGAAAGGACGGGCTTCGCTCTCCCAACGGGAAAATTCGCCGCGGAGCAACAGGTTTCGCCGTGCCCCCCACGCGCGTTCGGACCAGCTTTTCGGATATTGCCGGCAGATGTTGATTTTACAGATAGTCCCGTGCAAAAAGTTTTATTGCGTTTTGAATACTCTCGGGCTCGCTCGAGCTGCCATCAACCAAGAGAATATGAATTTTTAGTCAAGGAGTCGCTGCCAAACGACGATTTTTTTTTTTTTAGTTAACACACAACTGTTACTCAAA